CACAGCGAGAAATTGGAGGGGAGAACATTAAGCTCAGGAAAAATATACGATATAAATGAAAAGTGTATGAGCTGAAGTTAAGATAAGTACTTGAATGAATTGAAAAGTAGATGATCAATCAATAGGTTGATCGATAAAAATATATTTAATTTAATTATCAAATTTGAAACATAAAAATTGATCATTGTGGATGAGTATTAAGCTAATATTTAGTCGATCAGATATATGAGCTTAACATTTCTTGGAGTGCAGCTCTTAGTGGACTATTCGAATAGAATCCATATTAAAACCACAATTTTATAAAATTTTTTTATCGCTTAGTAATCGAATAGAAAACATCACACTTTCTGTGAAAAAATTTACTTATTTATTTATATAATATATAAACAGATGAGCATCTTAAGTTAAGATCAAATATTATTATAGTAATACGTCAATGAACAGCATTTATATTTACTACAAAAATTTGTTAGGAAACTAAAAGATTTCGTACTCACGCCACGCCGATGTAACTCCAAGCGCAGTGACGCCAACCAATGCTAAAGATCAAGGAGTTTCTGTATCGTTATGGACTGCTAGACATGGACGAACCATTGCCCGACAGCTCGAACTGCACCATCTGCTTTGACATGGCCAACGATGAGGACGAGGTGCTGATTGTGCATCGCCTGCCCTGCGGCCACCTGTTCCATAAGAACTGCATTCTGCGTTGGCTGAGCTGCAACAACATCTGCCCCAATTGCCGTCGCGAAGTGGAGGCTGCGCCGCGTCGAAACTATCCACGAATGAACGAGGATCATCCCATGGGCGCCGCTGTGCTGCTCTGGCCACGCGGCCGTCCGCCAGTCTCCACCTATGTGCATCGCCTGGAGCCATCTGGCAATGTGATGGCCGATCAGAGCATAAGCAGGATATAGCCTATGTGATATCTATGCATACGTTAGCTTCCAGATTTTTGCTTTACTTGTTTCTTCCGTTTTCCTTTCTTTTTGGTTGCTGTTCAATATTTTTGGTGTTCTGCAAGTTTGCAAGTTTTGTTTGAAAATTCAATAAATGTTGGTGTGTTTCTCTCAGTGTACACTTGTTGTTCATCCACAACAGCCGCAGCAGCAGCAGCAGTAACAGCACGTACAAACATTCAACATCCGCAATCGAAGTCGCAGTCGCAGTCGACGCCGCTGTCGCTGTCGCCGTCGCAGTTGTCTGGGCAGCATTGCAAATTTCTACATGGCCGCTCAACTGAAAATTGTTTGTGCACTTTTTAATTTTTCTCTTTTTTAACATGGCTTTTGTTGTTTTTTTGCAGTTTCCCGTTGGTTAGGTTTTTTGATTTTATGTTTTTTATTTTCCTTTTGTAATTTTTTTTTTGCTTCAGTCGAGGGATTTATTTATTATTTTAATTATATTGTTTTAATTGCGAGCTGTAATCAATGCAAAGCACCTCGAGGCTTTGTAAATTATATGGCTGAAGTGCTTAACGTGAATTGTGCTCATTAAAATGACAACTTATTATAATCCCAACACTAAAACTAATTTTAAAAAAATACCTACAAAATGTAATTCAAATAAATATATTAATTTCATTTAATTGTTAAGCAAATTAATGCAAGCGCATTAAATGAAAATTATTTATGGATATTTTTCTTTGATTTGTTGTAATTATTTGTATCTGATATGAGCGCAGATAGTGAAAAATTTAACTTAAATATATAAATAAATTAAAATATAAATAGAATGAGCTATTATTACTTTGTTAGAAATGAGATTATTAAGAATATATGTAGGTTATTTTCAAAGAAAAAATATTGTTAGGAGGGCGAGCTATATATAGTTTTTATTCACAGAATTACAGATTTTGCTAGACTCTTGAAATGACTAATTCTATGAAATATAAGAGCTGACGCTATTTATAACTACAGATGTACACATACTTATATAAACTAAATGACTTATAGAGAGAAATATATTATTTTTTAACAACGGTATTGTATTGTATAAAATACTTGAATATATTTATAGTATTTTTAAAAATTTATATAGCACTAAAATGTTATCATATTTTTATAGTTATTTTATAATATTTTATAGTATTTTTATATTATTTTTTAATTAAAATTTAATTTAATTTAATTAATAAATAATTTAATTAAAAAATTTAACAGCTCGAGAACTTCTTCATGAAAGCCTTTCAATGCCTGGTCAAGAAAAGTCTTTAAATCAAATTGAAGGCAAACAAGCAAATGTCTTGTATTTGGCTCTGAGGTCAGGAATGCAAATTCCTGGCAGGCAGGAGGCAAACTGGCAAGGAGCAGCAGTTGTTTATTGGTGTTACACGGGACATGTTGCCCATTTTTCGGACATTCAAGGATCGCATGAATATCTTGAGCAGAAGACGGAAGTTTGATTTGCTAATGAACCGAAAGGATGTCCTGACTGTAAACTTGGCTCGTTGCTGGTCGAAATATATTGGCCAGAAAATCACATTTGATTTGTTGCCGGCGACTCGGCTTTGGTATGCCAGGCACGTTTGCGTGTTGCCACACACAGAGAGCATGGCTGGGTCATGTAAGGTGTGCTTTGTTTGTCTATTGGTCCGTTGACTTGTTGCATGCGTGTCAAGTGTCAGGCGGCCGGGACATGCCGTTTGACAAGGCCCCTTAGGGCCGTGTGATATTTAAATTAAATTTTAGCGACAATTCAACTTCAAGTGCTTGAATGAACCAGCTAATGGCTGTGCTTATGTGCCCGAGGCTTCGTTATAATCAACAACACCGTGCCGACAGCTTTTCTAGCCATTTCATTTGCATGCCATTGCCATAATTTTCCACCTGCCACACACACTAGAAATATTTACTCAGCCATTTGACTCAATAATAGGCATGATTGTTTATACGCTGCCCCCATTCACTCGCCTTTTGAATGCTTTTTATTAAATTGCAGAGGCAACTGGCAAATTTATTGCAATTTCTTCTGGCGAAACGTCTTTGGCGCTAACCTTCAGCGGCTGTCGTTGCCATTAGCCAGAAAGCCACCAGCCCCGCAGCCGCTCTGCCAGCCAGCCTTAACGCCCTCTGTGTCTGTGCCGTTGTTTTTGAAGTAGGCAACATTGTGAAAGTGCAAGAAGGTACAAGAAGCACGAAAAAAAACCGAAGAAACAACATGGAGAACTTAAGTAAACATTAATTTACATAACTTCTGTGCAAATGACGACAACGGGCAGCGGGCCACAGAGAGTTGACGTAGCTGGATGTGGGTCTCTAACTGGGTAAGGGTGACCCACACTCGGCTGAAACAGAAGCCGGATCTGGCTCCGGACGCAGGCGTCAGCGCTCTTGTAGCCCGGCGTTATTAAAAAATTTAAAGCATGTTTTGCGGCGCGGCGCGGTGCGGGACGAAGGGAAAAGGCGCTCGAAACACTGGCAATATGGCTCTGCTTAGTTGTCAACGCCCCAACATTGTGTGCACCAGTGTGTGTGTGTGTGTGTGTGGGTGTTTGTGTTTGTGATCGACTGCGCACATAAGCAAGCAGCGCTCTGTGTTTTTTTCCTGTTTCATATCCTTGTAGCGGCAAGCGGCGATTGTGTCAGAGAAGTGCCAGCGTCTGTTTTCAATGTTGCCAGAGTCATTTCCTTTTGTAGCCACTTGTGTGTGTCGAAGTGTGTGTGTGTGTGTGTGCGGCAGCCATAACAACTGAGAGAGTGCGCTACAGAGCTGCAAAGTCAGTTCACAAAGTCACTCTGAAGACAGTTTGAAGGAAATACAAATAAGTCAGCTAGAAGATAAAGGTAGAGTACATCAAAGTTATAAGAATATATGTAAATAAATATAAAACAGCAAACCAGTCGAAATTGCCACTCTCTCTTACTCATTTCCAATCAAATATCTCTAATATTCATTAACTCCACATCAGATTTGATTCACTTTTTATGAGAATCAAACACAGCTAAGTCTTTAAATACCCTACACAAGAATTAATCAAGCGAGCTACAATGACAGCGCATATTATTCTCTTCTTTGTGTCATTACCAGAGCGCCAAGCAGTACAGCGCCCGACCGCTCGCCCACTCCACAACGGCAAAAGGCCCCCATGCTCGGCACAGCGCAGCTTAGCGAAATTGTTTGCGAAAATACAACACAATATTCAAGAATAATGATGACATTGTTGACTTCAGTGCCCCGCGCGTCATATACAAAAAAAGGGAGAGAGAGATGGAGAGAGCGAGACAAGACAGCCCCATATAACCGCAAGGACATCTTCCGCAGGATTAAACGCCCTAAACGCCCCGCTTTAGACACTGCAACGCCCCCCATGTGACTAAGCCAGAGAAAGAGAGAAAGAAATATAGATGAAGAAAAGTTGAAAAAAATGCGATTACCATATTGTATGATATGCGGCTATAACCGGAAAGGCAACGGCACAGAGTGGAGCGCGGAGTGCTGCCCGCTTGGCAAACAAACTTTCGAAATATAAATTGAAATGAATTGAAGTTATGGCATTAGACAGTTTCTGAAATTATCATGTGACATGCAGCAGCAGCAAGCACATTCCCCACGCCCTCCACCCACTCAATGTAAATTTGCATTTAGAATATGTTGCATACTTTTAAGCGCAGCATTGCCAGGCGTTTGTAGCTAATGGTGGGGAAGGTGTCGAAATCTATATAGAACATAAAGACAATTACCGTTATCTACTTGGTAGCATATTTATATGAATAAGAACTTTAGATTTGCTTAAGTTCTGAGCACATTAAGTGATCTATTGTAGTATTAGATTGAATTCAAAAATGAGTTTAGCTAGGTCTAATCTGGGACTAGAATTCTTGAAAATGTTATTCCAAATTGCAGCCTTCTAAAAATCTAATTCTAGATCACATTCAAACTCCCAATGACTGTGAATCCTTCAAAAGGTGTTTGAGCTAACCTTTTAAAGCTCTCAGGCAGTCCTACCTTTGATTTGCTGAACATTTCTTTAGGTTACATTAAATGCAAGAACAACTAAAATTTATTTGAAACACTTCTAGGTTGATGAGATAATTTAAATTTGTTACAAGCGAAAGATTGGATTATCTTAAGCATTAGAAATTGTAATTGTGTTTTTGAACTCGGAACTCGAGGAGCTGCCTTCGTGATGAACATTGTGTTGAGTTGATGATGAGCTAAACAATAAGCTAAAGCTAAATAACTAGGCCAAGGCTCCGTGCGCTTCTACCAGCTGAGCTCCTCGGGCAGACCGCCTGGGTACTCGCCAGTGAGGCAGGCGGTGCAGTAGCCGGACTTGAGGGGGTTCACGTGGGTCTTGTTCATCTGCACCGCCTTGACCAGACCCTCGACGCTGAGGTAGGCCAGGCTGTCGGCGCCCACATGGTTCGCCAGCTGCGTGGCATTCAGCTTGTTGGCAATGAGCTCCTCGCGCGTGGGTATGTTGATGCCCATGTAGCAAGGATATTGCAGCGGGGGGCTGGCAATGCGTATGTGCACCTCAATGGCGCCAGCATCGCGCAGCAGCTTGATGATGGGGCCAATCGTATTGCCACGCACAATGGAGTCGTCGACAAGCACAATGCGTTTGCCCTCCACGTTCTGCGCCAGGGCGCCAAATTTCTTGGCCACGCCCAGTTGGCGCAGACGATTCGAGGGTTGAATGAAAGTGCGTCCCACGTATCGATTCTTGCACAGCACCTCGCCAAAGGGCAGGCCCGACTCTCGGGCATAGCCGTGCGCCGCTGCTGTGCCCGACTCCGGCACAGAGCTGACCAGATCCGCATCTAGTGGAGATTCGCGTGCCAGCTGCCTGCCACACTGCAGACGCGCCGAGTAGACCATCTGGCCCTCGAACATGGAGTCGCTGCGTGCAAAGTAGACATACTCGAAGATGCAGAAGGCCATGCGCTTGTAGTCCGGCCGCTCCACTATGTCCACGGTACGATATCCATTGCGTGACAGCTCGATGATCTCGCCCGGCTCCACCTCGCGTACGTAGCGAGCGCCAATAGAGAGAAAGCCGCAGCTCTCACTGCTGACCACCCAGCCCTCGGCCAACTGATCCTCAATATTCGCGTGGCCCGCATCGAAGGCCACAATCTTGCCCAGGCAGAGCGGCCGATTGCCATAGGAGTCTCGCACTGCGTATATCTTGTCCTTGTGCATGACGACGAGGGAATAGGAAAGTGGGGCCAGCGTCATGAAGTGGCGTATGCGTGCCGGCCAATTGGGTCCGTCATGCTCCGATACATCCTCCGGCGCACAGCACAGCGACTGGGCGATCAGCTCGCTGTCGCTGTGCGTGGAGAGGCCAACGCCTCGCTCGAGCACCTCGCGACGCAACGACTCGCAGTTGACCAGCTCTCCATTGTGCGCTATGGCCAGGGCACCATGTGCCGTGTGAACTACGAATGGCTGGCAGTTGACCACCTCGGAGGCAGCGGCCGTAGAGTAGCGGGTGTGGCCGATGCCCAAGTTGCCCTTCAGCTTGCGAATGGCCTCGTCGTTGAAGATGTTGTTAATCATGCCCATGCCTTTGTGCACGCTGAAGTTCTTGGAGCTCTTGCCCAGGCTGGTCACAATGCCCGCCGACTCCTGGCCGCGATGCTGCAGCGCCACCAGGCCCAGGCAGATCATCTGTGCAATGTCCAGCTGCAAGCAAAATCAGATTCACATATTATTTGTATCAAACCCTTCGATTTCCAATGCCATGGCAACAGCTGACAAGCTGACGACCGATAACGCTCGCTGATGCTCTGATAGTGCACACATATTTTCCTGTTATTTTCCATTTCATTACAAACGACAAAAACAACAACGTAGACGACATCAATACTGCAACTGATTTGAAGCAATTACAACCGCAGTGCAGCTTTGAGCTGCGTTGCCATTGACGTCACCGCTTGGCACTGGCCCCCTCAGATGGAAAACGAGGGTCTCTGCGCGCTGTTCTATGACCTACTTGCGATCAGCTTACACTGACGGAACTCTGATCCAATGCCGGCTGACAAAAGTGATTGCCGCAATCACGTGATCAATAAGTTTGTCATTCTAATTCTAAGATTTAACTAGGCTCTTACAATAACTGTTTTTCTAAAATGAACGATCGAATGATCAGAAGTGAAGCTGAGCTATTTAAGTATGTGAACATAGAAATTATATATATGTCTGTTACTTAGTTTCTTAGTGCTTAGAAAGTTAACAGAACTTGGAATGCTTTCTGAAGGGAAGATCAATTTAAAGCTTGCTAGTTGCTAAAGATTTCTCTCTATTTAGCTTATCTGAAAATCAGCCTATGATATATATATATTTAAATATATATATATATTTTTATATATATATTTATATAAGTAGAACTAATTGAATAGATTTAAATCTATAACTAAATACTAGAAATATGTAAATGCGAAAGATCTGTGAGAATTGCAGGAATTCTTGAAAAGAGATCACTAATCGAACCTAAGCTATCCTTTTTAACTATATTAAAGGATACTCAAAGAATACATTCATATATATATATGACCTTCATATATATATATATATATATAAATATATATAGTATAAGACATATATAAGTATATATGTATATATATATATCTATCCCAGCTCTTATTGCTATACGAATCCCATTTATTCACCTGTGTAGGATACTCGCCGCAGGCAATGGCTCCAAACACTCCACACTCGCATGTCATGCCCGTCACATGGTCTCCCTTGGGCTGCACCGATTTGTAGATCTTATCGGGAAATACTTTTGATGCTGCGCTGCTGGCGATGGCGCCTCTCTCGCGCTTGCAGCAAGACTGCGCTGAGCTGGCATCTGATATATAAATATTTGCATGTTATCTCAGCTGATCCTCGAGTGAGCGCACTTTCTGCGTTTTATGCTTACCACAAACATTTCCACAATCACTTTCTGCCATAGTCAGCTGATTGATTACTTCTTTATTTTTAGACACGATCGTTCAGTGCACTCAAAATAGCTTATTGATTGATTCCTATATACAAATTGAGACACTTAACACTTCTCACGAGATCTGTTTACTTCGAGTTCGACTATTCACGTCTGCATTGAATGAATGCCAGTGGAATTATGAGTGTTCAAGTTACAAGCGCGGTATATTAAAGCTTCAAAAATCAGAGACACTGATCAGCCATACACATATGTATGCATTTGTATATACATAATCGTAAGTGTATATTGTATGCATACATCATGTAGCTGATGCTGATAACTGCGTCGCTTGCATTTTCTCGAAAGGTTCCCAACCGCAGCAGATCATTTGATACTGTGTTCAATAGCAACGCGTATACACAGAAAATAAACAAATCACAGATCAAACAAACAAAGTTCGCATTCCATGCCACAAAATTATGTGGAATGGCTAACTCGAGCTCCCATTGATCCTAAGACTAGAGCGACGAGCACACATATGGGATAAGTGTATCTATAGCTAATTAACCATACAATTTATTTCCGATTTGAATTTTTTTATTGTAGCGCCTTGACACACGCTTCCAGATACTTTTCCATAGCCATCTTGCCTCATGCTGCCGTTCTTATCACAACTTTGTTGCAGCCTTATCACCATTCGGCGCATTGGAAAATGCGTGCAATGACGCATTTTCGTTGACTTAGACGCGTAAACAATAACAGATTCCAGATTTGTTATTTTTCTTTTGCAATAAATAGGCGGCATTATCAGAAGAGTTAATAATACGCAGGCCCCCCATGCAGCTTGATCGATAACTGGCCAAGCGAAGGCGATCGCATGCTTGCAAAGCTGTAAACAAAAATAAATGACAATTTCTCCGGGAATATTACGAAATGTTAATACTCTTAAACTTAAGAAAAAAATAAAACAAAATTAAACCAATCGAGCTGCAATTCTGAATTTAACAATTTATATTCGATAACAAATTATAAATGTTTATCGATCAATCAATATAAATATATGTCAATTAACCAATAATAATATATATATATATATATGAGCCAAGGCTGTGGCATATATATATATATATATATGTACATCAAACTATAAATATTTATCGATAACTTTATGTTAATTTTTATATATATATATGTTCTCCGATATCAATTCATACACGTTAATCGATCTGTGAATACCAAATCATGTTAATCAATCAGTTAATATTGATAAACATACGTATTTTCGATAACGAATCATGCTGATTAATCGATCAGTCAATGCTTACGATACCTAACTAATCGCTTTCAATTCTTGAATTTTTTTTTTTCGATCAGTTCCTCAAAACTTTTATTCAATGAAAAAAGTATGTATTATACTATTTACTCAAACATTTAGAAAACTATTGAGTACATTCGGCCAAAACCTGTATTAACTGTAACTATATTAAGGGCCAGTTAGGGTTCATCTATAATTAGCACGCGTATGCACATATATACAAAATATTATTATTTATAAACAAGTTGTTTATGTGGTTGGCTGGCTGGCAAGCTTGTCAGACTGATCGATCGATCAGTTTAACTGATTTCTGAACTGATGCAATGGCCTAAGTGAGCTGTTGAGGCTGCCGATCTGATTATGTGTTATATATAGATGAATGCAAACAGGCTTGGGTATCAGCATCAGCATCAGCAGGCTTTTATATATAGAGCACAGACCAGACAAAATGTGATGTTATTTACGAGCCGTATTGCATAAGATCAGCACAGCGAGGTCTAGACAGAGCATTTCGTGTGCTGTGCATGCTATTAGTGAGAGTTATCTGACGCACGCATTACCTTCTTTTCTTTTATTACCAAAACACACACACATACAGAGAGACATTTGACCATAAACAAGCAAAGCGCCAAGCAAGCAAACATACTTAGTTAATAAGATGCCGCAAAATGTGCAAATGAAAACAAGTAAGAAAGCTCTACTCGGGGTGCCCGACTAGGAGATACCCTGATCCTAGTCCTTTGAGTTTTGTAATATTTTCCGTAGTTTGTATCGAGAATTAAAAAAAAAAGAAAACAAATAAAAATCGACATTGCGAGACCAGGATTCGAACCCGGATTATTTGCGCAACGTGCACAAACTCTACCAACACCGCCACTTCATAACTAAAAAAAAAAAATAAAACAATAAAAAACATTTCATCTCCTCTGGTCTCGAACCCGGACCAAGCTGCATACGAGCGGCGCCTATACCAACGCAGCCACTGCCCTTCTTTCGCGAGTTGTTGCAAATTTGAACATAAGTAGCAGCTAATAATTCAGCACAATTCAATCGCAATTTCAATTCTTGGAATAGAAAAGAATGCACGCATTTGAATGTATGTGTGCACACGCATAGGAAAAATGCGTGCGCGTGGCGCTGCTGACATGTGCTTTTGCAAATTGGCCAAACGTTTTGTTTAATAACTTCTGTTTTACTTAATGGATTTTAATGAAACTTTCAGCATATGATCTACATATCCTATTGGCTTGGTTGAGATGCAAACGCCTTCACATAATGGCCCTAGCTCCAACTAAACTTAAATTCTAAGAATTTGGGGGAATTTGGAGCCGGTATCCAAAATCCAACAAAAATCAAAATTGCATAAAATATACATAAGACTAAATACAAAATTTGGAGGCTCTAGCTCTTAAGACTTTCGAGATATAATTTATTTACTGCATTTCAATAATGTTTTTATTCGATAACAATTAAATGCGAATAGTTATCGAATATTTGAAACAAACTTGACCTGCGCGTGCTATACACGGACCTACAAAAAAAATTTCAAGTCTCTAGCTCTTATAGATGCTGAGATCCACGCGTTCACACATACGGACAGACGGACAGACGGACAGACGGACAGACGGACAGACGGACGGACAGACAGACGGACAGGGCTCAATCGACTCGGCTTGTCGTCCTGATCAAGAATATATATACTTTATGGGGTCTGCCACGCCTCCTTCTGCCTGTTACATACATTTGCACAAAACCATTATACCCTGATTTCCCATTTTTAATGGGATCAGGGTATAATGACCAAAATGACGAGGAAAACGAAGCCCAGTGACCAGTGTCCAGTGACCAGTGAAGAAAAATGAGCTTCCAAAAATGGTGCTTGGGTTGGGTGGTGTTTGGCATCGAATGTGTAACCACTTGAATTTCATTTGGCGAAAAGCTTTATCGAAAATTATGCGAATGCTGCTGACTTCTGGCAAGTGGCTGTGGCAGCGGGCGTTGGCGACTCCCTCCTTAACTCAACTAACTGCTTAGAAGCCCGATAAAAATCCAGCACACAAAACTAAACAAACAGATAATAAAGAGGGAAAATGATGCTGCCAAAGCCGAAGCCAAACCCAAAGCCAAAACCAAACCAAACCGAAATGAACCGCATTGCAGGCGGTGGGTAAAGGGGCAGGAGGTCGTGTGGATTGTGTGGATGCTTCGCATATGTGAACCCCCCGCGTAGTGAACGTGGCGTCCAGTTGCTGCCCTCTTCCCCGCCTCTGCGCGCCCTCGAGCAGGCCGTGCCACAGCCTTGGCTCATGCATAATTCAGCAGAATTCTGAATGATTATTCTTTATGGGACTGTTTATTTCTTTTGACCATTTATTTCAAGTTGGTGCGTTGCGTTTTTTTTTTCGCTCTCTGCGTACAGCTATTTTTTTGTGCTTTTCATTATTTTTATACAGTTTCCAGTTGCTTGCGCTCGGAATGATTTCGAGCAACGGTGACGCAAAAATCATCAAATGGACAAACAGCGACTGCTCGGAAATAACCACATGAAGGCACTTGCCTTGTCCTGGCTGCTGGCTGCTGGCTGCTGGCTGCCGGCTGTTGGCATCTGCGTTGTCTATTCAACCAAAAAGTGCCACACCCCCTTTGGCCAGTCAGCCAACCACACATGACTCTGACAACCCTCGGCCTTTCGGATCTTCCTGGTCTACTCAAAGCCCGAGTAGCTGCTGGACTGCGCCGCTTTCAACGCATCATTTGATTTTATTTTATGTGCCCAAAGTGGCCAAAAAATAAAATAAAATAAAACTGAAAACAGAGAGAAGAAAACAAAAAGAGTTTTTATTTGTTTTTCTGTGGCCGCAATTGAATAAAATGTTACTCTAATGCACGTCGAAAGGGCACTTGCCACTGGCCAATAGATATTGGCAATAGCTCGGCCAGATAGTGTCTATCTCAGTGCTGCGGTTGCTGCATGAGAATAACTTCATTACGAAATGGCACACCCATTCGACAGCCGACAGCCAAAGGTAGACCCAGGCCTGGGAAACCTAAAGAGATCATGTGAACTCTCACGCGTTATCAGAGCAACGGGCGATAAAGCCGACGCCGAGTCGGCAGGCACAGGGAACATATACTCGAATATTGAATGACTTGATGCTGCGAAATACCCCGTGTATCAGTTGAATGTTCATTTAAATATAAAGACTGATATTACAATTGAGTGAGGTGCGCATATATGGACAGATAAGCGAGGCTAGAAACATAGCTGAATGTGAGTATGCAGCTACGCTAGTCAGTCCATACAGAATAATAACAATTACTTTATTGTCATCTTCACAAAAGAAGTCTAACTTTTCACTATTCAGAAAGAAAGAAAAAGTTGAATGGAGCTGACACTGTGACCTAGATAGGCATAAAGAGACATAGATGAAGAAAGATATATATATAGAGAGACAGAGATAGAGAAAGAGAGAGAGGAAGAGTCTAACTCAAAGTTAGTTCATTTAGTTTTTTATATGAATAAAACATTATTCAAGAAAACATTCAAAGCAGCAAAGCCTGTGAGCTTAAGCCGAGCTCATGAGTAGCACATAGAAAATATGAAATTAGAGTACAAAGTGGAAATGGTAGACAGAAGTAGACGTATCTGAACTCTCATATATATTGCTGCTGAATATTAACAGCTAAAGTCAATCTAAAACTCTAAAGAGCTCAGCATTTAGTTTAAAATATTTTCGTCTCTTCTCTAGCATATACCAATATAAAATACTTCAATTTCCAGTGCAGCAAGAATTTCTCAAAACTTATTACAAAACCACTCAAAACTCAATTCCAAAAGCTCGCTAGATTATATAGCTGGAACTACTAAGATACAAGATAGATGGAA